ACACCGGAACGCCGCAGTCGCCTCCCACTTCGCCTCCACCACGGCGCCTCCGTCCTCAGCACGGCGAAGTCCAGGGGCGTCGCGTGAGGGCCTTGGCGTCGGCCCGATCATGGTCACTGGCGCGACCTCTTCACCGATTGTGGTGACGGCGTCGCGGACGGCGGCCCAGAGGGCCCCACTTAGAGGGCCCGGGAGAGCCCTTAGAGGGTATACGTCATTCCCTCCAAGCCAGATGGCCACCGCGGCCGGCTCCCTCCCTCCTCGCCTGGTCTCCTCCGCCCAGGCTCTGGCGACCCGCATCAGTGCCCCCGAGTCCAAGCAGCCCCTCCATGTCTTCCCCACCGACGACGAGGGGACCCAGGTCGTGATCTCCCAATCACCCACCTGAGGGCGGAAAGCAGCCCGCCGGACGAATGAATCACCAATTATAAGGCCGGCGAGGCGTGGGCCCAGGAGACCCAGATCAGCCCGGGGGAGCGGACGCATGCCACTTCCCCCGGGCTGCGGGGGCCGACATGACCCGGCGTGGGCCCGCGCAGTGACCACGACCACCGGAGACGTGACCCCAGACACGTGGGCGGGCGGGCAGACGCCACCCGTCCCCACCACGCGGCCGAGAGGAAAATCCCCCGGGGGTCGACGCTCCCTGTCGGCCACGACGTCGCCGCCCGTGACGACACCAGCGCCTCCGTCCTCTTCGCCGTCCTCCTCGATCCCGAATCCGGACAGCATCTGCTGCCACTCCTCGTCGGCCGCGACGCTGTCGCCCGTGACGACGTCAGTGCCTCCGTCGTCTTCGCCGCCCCCGTCCTCTCCGAATCCGAATTCGAACAGCATCTGCTGTCGCTCATCATACGTCAGGATCTCTGCCAGCACCTGGTCGTCGTCCATGATCCTGAGTAGGAGAACGTCATCATCAGCTCATGGATTGCCTGGGTACGGCACGACGGGGCGGGACACACGTCCATATCGGGTGGTGTATGGAGCCGGCGGGGCGCATTCTGGGGCGTTTCCTTCGCACACTCCTATCCCTCCAGCGGGGAGCGTGGACATGTCAGGGGCAGGATCCTGCGGTCGCAAGAACAGTAGCATTTCGGTAGGGATCCCGGGGACAGGTCCGTCACCCCCCTCCGCCCCCGAGGACTCCTCCCCTGTGGCTCTTGGTGGTCCCCGGAACTTTCTGCTGTAGTCGATGTTATCTGGGCTGCTGAGTTTAGCAGGCTTCAGATGGTTATGGTGGAGATTCCGTACCTTGCCGTCCTTGCTGGCCACCTTATATACAACCTCCCTCCCATCCAACCCGATCTTTCCGATGATAGTGGAGGGACCCGTATACGGTAGGCCCAACTTGGGCTTCCCACCAGCTGCAGCTCTGAAATCCCGGACCCAGACTTTGTCGCCGACCTGATACCTTTCATTACACTGCTTCTGATCATACCTCTCAGTGGCCTCCCTAGACGCTCGGGCGCTGTTGCTGCGCACGCGACTGTACGCAGCCCGCATGGCCCGGAGACGGTCCTCCAGGTAGCTGCGGACCGGCACAGATTCCGTGGGTGGCCCGTATGCTGCGTCCAGTGGCATCCGGGGCTCGTACCCATGCACGAGATAGAATGGCGTGTACCCGGTGGCGCTGTGCACTGACGAGTTGTAGGCCATGGAGTATGTCTTTATGCTGTCGTCCCAATGCAGCCCTTCGGCGTCAATGTATTTGCTGACCATGTCCTTGAGTGTGCGGTTGAACCTTTCTACCATCCCGTCGCTCTCAGGATGGTATGGCGTGGTCCGTGTTTTGTGGATGCCCAGCCTCTCACACATGGCGCGGAACACCCGGGATTCGAACTGACTTCCCTGGTCGGAATGCAGTCGGTCGGGAACACCGAAGTCGTAAACCCAATCCAGGAGACATTCCAGGATGGTCTCGGTCTTTTGATTGGCCATCGGGTAGATGCGGACATATTTTGAAAAATAGTCCATGATGATGAGCGCGCAGTTATTGCCCTTGACAGACACGGGCATCTCTGTCACGTCGACGGCGATTCTCTCGAAGGGCCTGGACGTCGTTTCCGTCACCATTGGTGCTCTCTTGGCCGGTGACGGCCGTTGTCTCCTCTGGCAGAGGATACAGCCATCGCAAAACTCGCGTATGTCCTTGTACATCCCCGGCCAGATAAAACGCTGCCTGACCCGGAACGATGTCCGCCGCCGCCCCATGTGCCCGCTGGTCGCGTGGTCATGCGCCATTCGGATGATCTCCTTCTGTAGTTCCTCTGGGACCGCTGCTCTGAAACCCTCTCCAGTCACGATCCCGAGGATGCCGTTGCTTACCATCGCCTTCCCCCACCGAGGCAGGAAAACCTTCCCCCACGCTCCAATTTTGCTGCGATCCGGCTCTTCCTTCTTTTCAAGCCAGCCGCGAATCAGCTGGAGGTAACGGTTCTGCTCCTGAGCCTGACGTAAGTCCTGTGCCCCTCCCTGCCCCTCGTTCGCTGAGGACACGTTGACCGTCGCCTGCGTCCGGTCTACCCCGGTGCGATCTGGATCAGGACGCACGCCTGTATCCAAATCGCCCCTGGGCGACCCGTTTTGCAGGACATGCGATGTCGCCGTAAGGACTCCAGCGGACGACATCTTGGGACTGGCCTCTTCCTTAATCCGTACCGCTGGTTGGACACCCGGTGGCGTGCTCTGTAGGAGCTCTGGCGCTCTGGGGGTCTCAGGGGGCCGCCTGGATAGGGCGTCAGCATTTCCATGCTCAGCCCCCGCCTTGATCTTCACATCAAACTCGAATGAGCTCAGCTCCACGGCCCATCGACCTCGCCGTCCTGTCCCGTCGCGTTCTACTGCGATGGATCGAGGAATGTTGGCCAGAGGTTTATGGTCAGTAACGACCAAGAACTTGGCGCCGGTGGTGTACTGACGGAAGCGTCTGATGGCATGGACGACGGCCCACAACTCTTTGTCGTAGGTTGGCCACTTTATCTGTTGCTTCGTGAGGACCTTGCTGTCATAGGCGATGACATGCTCCTCGCCATCGATCCGTTCAGTCAGGACGGATCCCACAGTCGTGTTGCACGCGTCCGTATACAGCACGAATGTGCCCTGGAACCTAGGCAGGGACAGCACGGGGGGCGAGGCCAGGATATCCTTGAGTTGAGTGAAGGCGTGACGCATTTCAGCTGTCCAGACTACTCTGCCAGGTGTGATCGCAGCGTTCCTGAGTGGCTTGGCTATCTCGGCATAGCCCTCGATGAAGTTGGCGTAATAGCCACACAGCCCCAAGAAGCTGTTCATGTCTGAGTCGGTAGCGGGTTCTGGCCACGTGAGGACCTTGTCCACGTTCCGGGGATCCGGCTTCACCCCTGCCTCTGACACGGAGTGCCCGAGGAAGGTGACCTCGTTTCTGGCCAAGTGGCACTTTTGGGGTTTGAGTTTGAGACCAGCTTCTCTGATACGTCCGAATACGTCCCTTAGCGTCTCCAGGTGCTCATGCTCGGTCTTGTTGAAGAGGATTATGTCGTCGAGATATACAAGACATGTCCGGGTGTCTAGACCAGCTAGAACAAGCTCCATCAAGCGCTGGAACGTACCGCCAGCGTTCTTGAGGCCCATGGCCATTACCCGGAACTGGTGCAGTCCTCTCCCCGTTGTGAAGGCCGTCTTCTCACGGTCTTCGGGGGCGATTTCCACCTGCCAATACCCTGTGGCCAGGTCGAGTGTGGTGTACCACCGTGCCCCAGCCAATGAATCCAGAGCGTCATCGACCCGTGGAAGCGGGTGCGCCAGTCCTCTTGTTACGCTGTTGACAGCCCTCATATCCACGCAGAAACGAAACGACCCGTCCTTTTTGCGCGCGAGGACCACGGGAGAGCACCAGGGACTGTCACTGGGCTCTATAACCCCGTCTCGCATCATCTGCTCCTTCTGGCGCTCGACCTGTTCTTTTATCGAGGCAGGGATCCTCCGAGGGGGCTGACGAATCGGAGGTGCGTCCCCCGTATCGATGCAATGCTGGGTTAGATGGGTACACCCGATGTCCCCTGAGTGGCGGCTAAATATGTCTTGGTATTCACCCACCAGGCGCTTCAGTTCAGCTTTCCCCTCCGCGGACATCTCGGAACTCTCCACGTCGACAACGGGGGAAGCGGACACACGCCGGCCCTCCCCGTCATCAGACGTGCCGAGAAGGTCCGCTTCCATCGGCCCAACGCATGTCATGGCGTGGCCGTCGTTGGTCCGCTTGTCGTCACACAAGTCAAACTCGTTGTCGCCCCCAGGAAGAATCGAATGCAGAGTACCGACGTCACTCTCCTTGAGCATCCTGACCTCCTCAAAGCTGGCATTGGTCAGTCGGATTGGAATGGTGCCGTCAGAGTCAACCGTTACCACCTCCCTAGGAATAAGGATGCTCTCCCTCTCTGCTGTGTGGCTGGGCTCGAAGACACCACACAGAGACGACGGATTACGCATCTTCCCATCGAGAGGTGCGACCTTGGCTGGAACGATAACGGCTGACCGGGCCGGAACAACAGCTACGGCTGTCAGCAGCACCCTTGCGCGAGTGGGCCTTATCTCGCTGTATGTCGGAAGGGGGATTGACATGCCCGCCAGCCTGAGGATCCCCTGCTGGTCGTCGATAATGGTACCGTATCGGCAGCAGAAATCACGGCCCAGCACGATGTCGTACACGAGGCCGCCCACCACTGCGACACTGGAGCATGTGAATGCCTGCTCGCGGATCTGGATAGGCACCTCATTGAGGACACCTGCAATGTGGAGGGGCTCCCCTCCAGCTCCTCTCGCTGGTCGGGAGGGGCTGTTCATTTTACACCCGAACTCCCGCTGTAACTCTTCTTGTAGACCGTCACGGAGCATGGTGAAGTCGGCTCCGGAATCCACCAGGGCCCACACTTCTCTGCTCCCAACCTGTGCTTTGACCACCGAAGCGGTGAGTCGGGACCCCGCTGGACTCCGGGCCGACGCTTGTCCCCCAGCGCCGGCCATTAACAGTTTCCCGACGGGCCGGACAACGGGGCAGGGAGACTACTTCGCGGTGTGGCGGGGTCTGTTTCCCGAGGAGCAGCGGTACCCGCCAGCCTGCGACAGTCCACCATCCAGTGGCCACTCCCCCCACATCCCAGGCAGAACGGCTGCTCTCGGCGAAAGTTGGTACGTTCGCCCGAGTGTGGGCACTCGCGGGCATAGTGGGTGCCCTGTTCGCCGCACGTCCAGCAGCGACCTCGTCGACTTCCCGGCCTCTCCCCGGCGTTCTGGGGCGCTCCCGGTACTCTTCCAGCTCGACCACCCATACCAGCTCGACCGCCCATGACGGCATTACCCTGCTGGCCGCCGGCCTGGAGTTCACTCACCGTCCGCTGAATTGCGTCGAGACGACGCTCGAGCGCAACCAGCGGGCCGAAAAACTCTCCGTGGCTCGAAGGACGGACGGCCGGGAGCGCACCGAATGCCGCCTCTGGACCGGTATACTGCATTGGATGCCACGTCTCCTGGCACAGTCCGTCGCTCTCCATGCGAGCTCGGCCGACGACTCCGGAGGGCGGGGTCTCCGGTGGCTGGTTGGGCGGCCAAACGCCGCTTCTCTCCACCACAGGACCAGAGGACGAGGTCTCCAGCGAGCGGGAGGGCGGGCAGATGCCGCTTCCTCCCATTGCCGGGTCTCCCGATCCGCCCTGAACCCGGCCAACCGCGGCGCAGTCTACCGAGACCGGTGCCGCAGCCGCCACTGATCGCATCCCAGCTGCGGCCTGCCTCATTGCGCCGAGGGTCGCCCGACGTTTGTGTAGGGCACTGGCCTTGTCGACGGCGGCCTGCAGTGTGCGTAGATCCTCGCCACACAACTGATCCTGCAGCCGCTCGTCGTGCAGTCCGCAGAGAAATCGACTTGTTAGGTTCGACTGTACCGACACATCGCCGTCACCTACCTTCGGGTAGGCGGCACGACCCAACAGACGGATCCTGTCAGCGAAATCCGCTACGGACTCCCCTGGCCCCTGCATAGCGCCAGCTAATTCCGCCTGGGCCTGAAGAATCCCGACGTCGGTCCCAAAACGCGCCGCCAAAGATTCTTTAATCTTTGCATAGCTGGCTTTATCCTTTTCAGGGAGCGATGCGTAAGAGTCGAGAGCTTTCTCCTCGAGTAGCGCCGCGAGGCACTGAATGCGGTCAGCGTCAGAAAACGTGGCTGTTTGCGCCTCGAATCGACTCATCCATTGGTTCCAATTTTGCCCATGCGTCCCGGTAAATGGTTTAGTTTTGGTCAAAATAAGTAGTTTAGTGTCCATGGTTTCCTATGCTAGCGGGATACCGCTGAAGCTGCGGGCGAATGCCGACCACTCCGATACGGCAGGATAGGAACACAGTGGATAGGGCGCAGAAAAAAAAATATGGTCAAAAACGTTTATATTGCTTTGCACGTGCTGCGGCTACACGCCGGCTGGCACAAATGTACGTAATGGGGGAACAAACCCGATGAAAAGAGAAATAAGAAAAATTACTCACTCGACCTTTTTCTCACCTGAGACAGAGTGCGATCAGTGCTTCGTGTGTTGCCGCGATGCCACGGTTCTTGGGTCCTGCCGACCGCGCCAGATGTTACGCTCCGCCGTCCACCGACACAACACCGTTCACCGAACCACTCCTTGTATTTGCCGCGGCAGCCGACGCACGTCCCGTGAGCTCTTCTCCCGGTCAGGGCGGACGCCTGACTGCCCGGCGCCGCCGGCCGCTCCGCTGACCCGAGCTGGGTCTAGTCCCGCGGTCGTCCGCCAGGCGGCGGCTCCTTGCGGCGGCGGCGCCGGACCCCTACAATAGGCAGACACTCCACATACACTGTGGCTATTCCGTGTCTAAAGTCATTGCGAGTAAAAAAAAAAAAAAAACATACGTCAGGGTAAAAGACAATAAAAAGTCAAATCACACACCTATACATATACCAGACACTCGCCACGCACACAGACACACACACTCCATATGCAACCACACTTCCGTCAATCACAGCCACTCGTCAGTCCATCAGAAGAACGCCTTCACTGCTCTCTTGAAACTGCCGGGATCGAGGTCTAAAAGGGCAGCTGGCAGCTGGTTTAAAAGCGCCGTCGCTTGGTATGAAAAGGCACGCTGCCCAGCCGCAGTGCGTGTAACCGGTGGCCGTAGGCGGCGGTCGTTCCGGGTGGTGCGGTCACCACTGGCCCGCGACCCCGCGTTCGTGGTGAACAGCGAGGCGAGGACGGTCGGCTCACCGCGCGCAATGGCACCGCGCGCGACGGTCACCGCCGCGACCCGGTACATGTCAGAGGCCGATGTGAGGTGCAGGTCATCCCGCGCGCGAGACACGTGGTCGTACTTTTTGAGGCCGGTAATAACTCTTGTAGCGAAGTTAATAATTTTGAGAAGTCTGGTACAGTTGTCGGCAGAACAGTTTCCGTAAACGGATATGCAGTATCTCACGCGCGAGATGACCAACCCCTCAACAATAGTTTTCAGTGCGTGCTGCGGGAGGAAATGCCTCAAGTGGCGGAGACCGATCAGGAGGCCGGTACAGTGGCGAACCACGTCACTGACGTGTGCGTCCCAACTCAAGTGACGGTCAAATAGCACGCCTAGGTTTTTAACTGTCCGGCTCTCCTGGACGGTCCCGCCACCGACCCGTACGCTGACAGGGGGGAGGTTACGGGTGTTCTGACGGGTGCCGAGGAGAAGGATTTCAGTTTTGGATGCGTTGAGTTTTAAACCATGGGCATGGAACCAAGCAGACAAAGCGGAAAGGGTAGATTCCATGCGTTGGATGAGGTCAGGAAGATTGGCTTTGACATCGGACATCAGGATTTGGGTGTCGTCAGCGTACTGGGTCACATGGGCGTCCGGCGCGTGTAGGCTGAGGTCGTTGGAGAAGATGGTGAATAGGAGAGGACCAAGGACGGATCCCTGGAACACTCCCGTGGTGATAGGAAGGGGATTCGAGACCACTCTGGTGCCGGAAGGAGAGGAGATAGAGACTGACTGGGTGTGACCATGGAGGTACGAAGAAAACCAGGATGTATCAATGTTATATTGCTGGAGTTTGTTAACCCAGGAACGCCCAACTGGACATTTTTGTCCAACCGTGTCTCTCTGCAGTGCAGGGGACCCACAGCGTGCGACAGTGGAACCATCTTTTAACAGCGGCCGGTACAAGTCGAGAAAGATCCAGCAAAACGTTTTAGAATGATTCCGAGCTTATCGGTCCAGTTTTGAGCGACACGTCGAGCATCCAAGTCGCTCGCTGGATTTAGACCTCAAATCGCGATGACGTCACATGACGAAAGGTAAGATGTCATGGCGCTGGAGTATTAGCCAGGTAAATTAACAGTGTATTCATGTTTGGGAGACTTTGTCCCATGTTTTGATGCGCTAGCTTGTTCTCCCAGTTGCGTTGCATGATCATTAGAAAAGGAATTGCAAAAAATGGACAAAATTGTCCACGTGGGCATTGCTGTGTACAAAATAGAGCTGGCTTGCACAAATGCTTATTTGGTATTATCTGTTACAACACTTTCAATGGCTCCATTCCTGTTGCAGACACAAGACAGAGACACTGAATGATGTCCTTGACATGGTTGAAGAAGATGCCAGCGGAGATAAAGCGGACGTCATCCTCATCTCTCCAGAAGGTGACGTATCTGGCGGCTACTCCGGACCGGAGGACGAAGGCGAGGGCGACCCCGACCATCTTTCTGCCCCCATCCTGAAGTCTGAAGCTGAACTTCAGCGTCGCAGGAGTTCAAGGACTGAGACCACTCACCAGCCTACCGCGCGACGTCATCAAGCTCATCACACTGTGACGTGGATGAAGCCAGCGCCTTCATCGGGAAAGCCTACCAGGCTTTTCCCTGAGGCTAACTTCCGTCAGCCAGTTCTCGGGGATGAGTCCAAACGAACTGGTAACACTCTTCCTTGGTGACGAAGAGAGGATGACGAAGATGACGAAGACGAGATGACGAAGAGAGGATACGACGTGACAGGCACGATCCGGGAGAACCGCATCCCTGGCACGACTGGCCTCAGTGCGACGAAGGAGTTTAGGAAGAAGGAACGAGGCATGCACCAGGCTGTCACCAGTCGGGACGGGAACGTGATTCTCGTCAGTTGGCAAGACAATGCACCCGTCACTCTGGCCTCGACATGCTACCGGCGATGTTCCCCCAGGCAAGGTGCGCCGTTACAGCCGTGTGCAGAAGCGACATGTGGAAGTTGACCGCCCTCATGTTGTCGGGAAGTACAACGGGATGATGACAGGATGGATCAAAATGTCAACCACTGCAGGATCGCCGTCAAGGGCAAGAAGTGGTGGTGGCCGATCTTCACATGGCTTGTGGACACGGCAGTCCACAACGCGTGGCGTCTTTACTGCCGCGCTGGCGGCACGATGACTTATGTCCAGCTCCGTCGCGAGTACGCCTGCACCATCCTGCGACGATGGGCCATGGCGAGCAAGCCCATGATGAACCGCAACCTTGCGGCTCCAGGATCCGAGGCCATCCGCTTCGACGGGATGGGACACATCATCATCAAGGCCCCGTCACGGGGGACCTGCCGGAATGAAGGCTGCACGGCGAAGGTGGGAACCAAGTGCGTGAAGTGTGCTGTGTTCCTGTGCGTCAACTGCTTCGCCGGCCTCCATGGCGTCGCCCAGTGAAAAGATGTTCAGGCTTCCACTGGTGGACGCCCGGCGATACCCCTGCCAAGCAGCGACAGTGCTGATGGCCCCAATTTGGGATTTGTCTCAGTTTGCTGCTTGATCTTAAATTCTGGAGTGACTGGATGTCACCGGTGTGTTGACAACATGAGCATGGAGAGCAAGTTGACAAGGAGAGCATGTTGACACTCTGGTTGATTTTTTAGAAATACACTTGCTTTTTAGCTGAATGGAGTTATTTTTACAGAAAACTTAGGTGGTCTGGTGTGGTTTGATCTAATCTTCCGCAAAGCACCATTTTTGCAGAGCTGGGCGCGTTCCTCGATTTTCGGTAGTGCGTTAGCGTTCCTGCGTTCCTCCGGCCGCGGTTAGTGCGTTCCTGGAATAGCGTTCCTCAATTTTTTTCGCTCGGTGCGCTAGCGTTCCTGCGTTCCTGCGTCCCAAACTGTTAACCCGTATTGTATTCTGGCTCTACCAAGCAGCAAATCATACCAAAATCAGTGCAACGCAACAGTGTAGCGGACAAAGTAGGCAAATCGCGCCAGTCCAACACTACAGGCGTGTTCTTCACAACCGAAGTCGTGGACAAAGAAATACCGCCGAACCACGCGGCGCGGGCCCAACCAAACACGGGGCGAATCGATCACAGAATACCCAGAATGGCGACGCGGGGCCGAAAAGCAACTCGACATCTCTTTTCCGAATCGAATATCTGAAATACGTTTTACCAATATCATCCGTAGGGTTTTCAACAAAAATACGACCTGCTTAAAAACAATAGTTAAGTTGAAAGATGTATCTAAGTAAAAGTTATCATATTTCCTTTACACATTTGATGCCTGAAACCGAATCGAATAGTGAACATCACCACTAAATCTAAACAAGCCTTCCTCGATTCGACCGACAAGTGGCGCCTCTACCAGCAAACACACGTACTCGAGATTCAAACATTTGACACAGAGGTCATTGGCAGCAATATGATTTTCGGGTGGTTCCGCAAGAACGCAGGAACGCTTCAAAATTTCGGGTGGTGCGTTCCTCTTACTTGCGTTCCTTTGAAAAACTTTGCGTTCCTGCGTTCTTGCGTTCCTAAAAAGGGCGGTGCGTACGTACGGAAGAACGCAGGAACGCACTAAAGGAACGCACTTGCCCAGCTCTGCATTTTTGTACATGGTAATGCCCATCTGGACATTTATGTCCAGTGCTATATGTCGAAAACTACAAAAGGTACAGTGATAATTTCTTCGGCTGTTTACAACACTAGTATAGGGGGGCAAACATGTGAATTTTCATTGGAATCGGAAAACTTTTTTTCTCTGGGCACTGGGGGGTTAAGGAGCCGAGTGTGCGGAATGGCGTCAAAACATTTGCTAAGATCCAAGAGGCATAGGAGGGATAGGTGACTGCGGTCCATGTTGGAAAAAATGCTGTTAGTAACAGATAGCAGAGCGGTCTCGGTTGAATGGTGGGGGCGGAAGCCGTGTTGGGATGAGGATAGGAGGTGATTGTCGGACATGTAGGCATACAGCTGACGCTGCACCACACGTTCGACAATCTTGGCTATGACAGGAACTATGGATATAGGGCGGTAATTGGAGGGTAATGACGGGTCACCGGACTTGAAAATAGGATGCACCAGGGAGTGTTTCCATGAATCAGGGATGTCGCATCTGGTAAGACATGAGTTAATGATGTGGAGAAGGACGGGGCTGATGGCGTCAAAACATAGGATTAGGATCCGGATACAAATTCCGTCAGGCCCACACACACCGGAACGCTTCATGGAGAACATTACCTCCCGCAGGCCGGCCAGCGTAGTGCCGCGCACGCGGAAGCCGCAGGCGCCCACACGCGGGAGGCGACACGGGACCGCGGGCGGGGGCCCAAGGCTGGCCAGCTCATCAGCTTATCATTATCATCAGATTAGACAGCTGATAACTCATTCCCGTACGTCGTAACTCTATAATGACCTTTCCTTATTGTCACATGTGCGCCGCATTCGCGATTGTTGCCGACGCCTGTTTGCAGGTCAGCCCACTACAGTTGTTATGCATATCGAAAAACCGATAAACTTTTAGGCGAAAAAGGTACTATTCCAGGCCCATTTTTGATTTCTTTTGCGATATTAGGTAAAAACAGAAGCTTCTTATCCTAGGAAAAATAAAATAGAATATCTTTCAAAGGTGGCACACTACCTTTAAGAAGTGTAAAGAATACAAGCGTCTAAAGTTGAAAACATGGCAAAGGCACCCCCGTTTACGGTATTTTTCTTAATATAGCTTTGATATGCACTATGCAGGCTGGGTTCTTCAATCTTTTGAGGAATTGCTTTTTAGCTTTAGGTTAGGTAATAGGTACCTATGCTTGAATAAGAAGGAAAATAAGCTGTAACTTGCCCTAATTCAGTTCATGTACGTAATCTTCGAATTTTAGTAGTTTATCTTCAAGAATGAAAATGTCAAGAGCTTATGACAAGAAGGAAATAAGCTATATCTTGAATTGATCCAGTTAATGTAGGGGAAGGTGGGGTAAGACGGACCAGCTAAGGTTTGAGGCCGCATATCTTGCTACACTGCTCTCGTAATTCATATTATTTATAGTCTTCGGAATGCTCAATCCTTCCTCTGTTGATATGTGTAAAGACTAAATTTCAAATTAAAGACATCTAGGTGATGGATGCTCTTAAAGAGGGACATGTCAAAAACTCAGACAAGAAAAAACGTGGGGTAAGACGGACCACCCAGCAGTGGTCCGTCTTTACCCTATCCGTTCATGTGTGTTACACTTCTGCTCTGTGCTCTTGTAAGAAAAAGTAACCAGAATGGTAAAATAACAAAATGAGCCTTTATTCTTTATTCATGTGTGATGGAAGTGCAGCTAAAAGCTGGGAACATGTGTGTTGATTGTCGCTTGGCATGAATGCATGCTAACTGAGCACTTTCATGCATGGCTCACATGCAACAAAGACTCCTTCCTGAAAAATTAGCTTACTTAAACTTGTGTCAATGTTTTGGAAAAAAATTCCATATGCAGGGTACAATGGACCACCACAGGGTAAGATGGATCACAGTGGTCCGTCTTGCCTCAAATCTAAATTCTGTCATTATCATGACGTAGGTATATGTCAAATAGCCCAACATTGCAAAACCTTGCCTTTCCTAAAGTGTGATTATAACTATGTTTATAACTTTGTTCTTCACAGTAAAGTGCAAAATAGAAATTAATCATGCAAGAAAGGCGCCGTAATTGAATCACCCGTAGACCTCTTATATTAGATCGGTTTGACGAAAAACAACATTTTTCTCAATAACTCAAAAGCTATGCGTCCTAGCAGCATGAGCTCAAGGTGGCCATTGTTACGAAGGAAAACA